AAATATATTGAAGATCAGAATGCAGGTTAGAAAACTATTAGAAATCTATTAGCTAAAAATGATCTACCTCTCTCGTGAGAATTCAGAAAAATTGACATTTTTGCTCAAATATTGTTCATGACTATAAACAAAATATTGCTCTTATTTATTAGTATTAATGTAATTATTGTTCTATTTTCTAATAATGTATAAATTAGTTATCGAATGATTTAGAAATTACCGATTAACGATTACAGTCACTGCGAATGTTTATGCTCATTCACGTTTTTGTAGACACAATTAAAAAAGTGAAATTTAAATCGAAACTTTTTACCAAAAAAAGATATAAAATTGCACGGAAAATATATAAATATCCAAAGTTTAATGTATTTTTATTTAATGCGTGAAACACATTTTTTCTTCTTTTTTGAAATCTTATTCCCAGAAAAACTTCGAAGTCGCATAAAAATCGGCACAAATTTTTAAGAATAAATCTTTCGCAATAGGCTATTAAAAAAGTTAGAAGATTAATAGATACATCTTAAATTGATGGTCAAAGGTAAATTATATTATTCGTGAAAAGTATGATGTGTCTGAACGAAGAAAGTCGAATGTCATGCGCCTTTCTTTCACTAAAAACAAGATCTAAGGATAAGTAGCAATAAGAAAAATTTACATATGTCGCTCGTTCTATGTCATATCGAATTTTTTATAACATGGAGAATAATCAATGAAGTTTCGGTGAGAGAATAGAGAAATAAGTTACACGATAATTTCGATATTTTTAAAATGATATTTTAAGAAATTTCGATGTAATGTTTCGAATATGAGCGTTAAGAAAGATTTGGCGAGAAATAGATATGAAGAATGCAAGTTGGAAGTTATTGTAGATTGTTACAGACGATAGAACTAAATATCACGAATACTGTTAACAGTAGATAATTGAAAATCACCTAAACCTAATCTAAATCTAACCTAAGGTATAATTGGAAATTAAAGAATTTTTATTTATACGATGGAAATGAATAACATGGCATTCAAATACATTGATTCTTTGACATCAGATTCTATACACCTCATTAAGGTACGAAATCTCTCATGTTTCTATGACAATAGATATATGGAAATAATGAAATTATTTATTTATATTTAGTACGTTATTCTAAATAACGTTAATAATTATTCTATCAACCTACAGTCGCATTGATGCATACAATTTACGTACAGAATTAAACAGCTTGATTACATATTGCTGCTCAATTAATTTTGAGTTGGCAGAAGAACTTTTTATATAATTTCATGCATCCAGATCTATCAAAGTACAAACGAGCAATACAGTTTATCAATCTGCAAAACAAAGTTATAGTAAGAACGAAAAAAGAAGTGATGTAAAAACTATGTAAAAATGTTAGTTTTTGCATAAGCGAGTGCTGTGTCAAGGCATGATATCTCAATTATGTTATGTATTCAGAACATATGAGAATTCTTGGAATTTCGGAACACAGTAAAAACGTAAGCTTCTTTTATCATTAAATATGTTCTGTAACATCTCACAAGAAAACTGATAAATCCATAATTACCTCACCAGGTCACGTATGGTGCATATAGAAAAAAGAAGAATATTCGATACGAAGAAACAACATTGGTTTATTATGTTTTTAAATGAAGTGGATAACGATTGCAGCTATGTTTAATAGATATTTAAGAAAAATTTGACTTAATCTGCAAATAACTTCAGATTGTCAGACCAATCTATGTGCGAATATTTCAGAAGTTTTTATTTTGTTTAAAAATTTTGTTATTTATGAATAAAATAAAAATCTTATGTTTCGACAAAAATCTATTAAAGTAGTATAAAATTTCGGGACTATTTACTTGCAACATTATTATTTGGATTATCTTATATTTCAATGAAATATTTGTTATGATAGTATTTATTTGAATTAGTACTAAAATATATATTTAAAATATTCTATTTCTTTATGTAAATACTATTTTATATACGTATATTATTTGTTAAATTTTGTTTACACTGAAGGAAATAATATTACTTTTAGAAAATTTATTTCTATTTTTTTGTTTCAAAAATCTATTTTTCTCAGATTCTTTGAATAGTAAATGATCTGGGTAAAACTTATATTTCAGGAAGGCAATTGGATTATCTTCACTTTCACATACAAGATGTTCACAGATTTACTATCCAACATTTTTTCTTATAAACTGTAGATGCTATGGAAAAGTGAAGAAGAACTATCTAATATTGTACAATGTAAGGATATATAAAAATTTTGTATAATAATATTATTTTTTTAAGAACTGTAGATGATCTTCAATTTTTTAAATGGAATGTTTTTTTTAGATTATATGAAAGCAAATGTGAAAACAAATTCAATGATCTTCATACTTACACAGGATCAAGAACTGTGTTGTCCAGGACAGTCTCCTCAGTAATCTGCAGAAAATTTTAGTTGCTCATTTTTTTGTTAAAAAGTTATTATTAAATTTTATTGAATTAAAATATTTACAGAGTATAATAGTTATGTGGGATGGGGAATTCTGGGAAGGGGCCTGGAACTTTCTCCAGTGCTCAATAACGACACAATTGTCGCCATCTGGAGTGAAGGCTAGGCCTGAGAATATTTGTGTTACTGTCCATGCCTAGGACTCAAAAATATTAAGGGTACAAGTGTTATGTGTGAGTGATTGTGTGAGAGGACAAAGATTTCGAAAATCCATATGGTAAAATAATCCAGCAGAGAGAATTGAGAGTAAAGACAGAGAGTTGTGAGTCGTCGGCGAGTAGAGACAGAGTTTTACTAAAGAGTAGTGAGAATACAGAAAGTATTAATCTCCTTTTTGTTACCGCAGCATTAAGATTTTTTATTTCTGTCAATCCTTATTTCAATAAACTTTATTTTCCAACTTTATTTAACAACGTGGAATAAAATATTTTCCTTTATTTTATTCCTATAGTTATTTTGCAATAAAATTGATACACGTTATAATGTTGGGCTATTATTTAATGAAATGTTCGTGTAAAATGTTAAAACATAGCGAGGAAGAGGTTCGTTGCTAAGATCGACTGTTTAAGACTAATTCCAACTTCTGTATGTTTAAATTAAGTATTGTCTTACCGATACTTTTTATGTGTTTAAAAAAGTAACAAGTATTATAATTTACTGTTTAAAAAAAGACTCACTACTTTGTCTCTAAGTTGCAATTTAGTGGAAGATAGATATGATAGATTATATTAAACAAATAGTACTAAAACTTTAAAAAAAAGAAAATAACTCAATGTTACAATTATTGAATTGTTTCAGAGAAGCAGATTTCTAAATATCTGATAACAATCAAAATGAAGAAGAAAAATAATCTTAAAACCAAGAAAATTTGTATTATTTACGTATTTGTTATGTATATTGTTGTATAAAAAATAAATACATGCACATTTCAAGAAATAACAGGTTTTGTTAAAAATAATAAAAATAATTAAAAATAATTATTTATTTAAAATCCTATTCTTCCTTTATATTTCGATAGATCATATAAAATAGTATTATATATAATAGTATTATAGTATAATAGTATTATATATAAAATAGTATTATTTATAAATAAAATAATTTTAGAGAGAAAAAGAATTAGTCAATTTAAAAAGCATACAATATTATAAGTAGATTATTCGTTTAAGCAAAACTGAATCTGATGAGCAAAAGAATACTATAAATATAGTAACTGCATAAAAATTTTCTCAAATAATTTTCTTAAAATTTAAAATTTAGAATTAATTTAGCAAATATACTTTGAACAAGAATCTGATTGAATGAAAACAAATTGAGAAGGAAATCTGGAACCTGTATCGTTTTCAATTTGTTTTCATGCGTCATTTTCCGTAGTTAAAAATTAATGGTCTTTATTTCACGTAGATGTCGACTTCAGAAATATGGATCTCAATTTACTACACGTCATTCCCTTATAATTATTACAGTTGTGATTCAGATTTAATTAACTAACTTATAACGTTACGTTGCATACTAATTATATCATAATTTCTAATATTTTTTAACAATAAATGACATGGTACACAAATCATTAAATTCTATTATTCATTAACTAAAAATTTTAGTTTCTACCACAGTGATTAAAATATTCAAAATTTTTCTATAAACTACCTTTATCAATATTATAATATTATAATAAAACTTAATTATTTATTT